AGGGTGCAGTGTGCAGCCTGCAGGCTGGGTAAGGGGGTGCAGTGTGCAGCCTGCAGGCTGGGTAAGGGGGTGCAGTGTGCAGGGCAGAGGAGGAGGTGCCTGGAGGGAGGACCCGGCCTGGGTAGAGTCAGGAGACTTGGGAGCCTCCGGTGGGGAGGGCCAGAGCAGGCATTTAAGTAAAGCTCAAGCAGAGAGGATGTGGATCCCAGGGAGCGCCAGCTCTGGCTCCGCCACCAGGCTATTCCCTGCAGCTCTGTTCGGAGGTGGGTGCCCTGGTCTGCCAGCTGTGTCCCGGGGCCCCTCGTTTTCCTGCTCCAGTGAAGGGGCTCTGGGCCAGCGCATGCTCTGGGAGGGTGCCAGTTGCGGTGCGGGGGCCAAGGAGGGGCTGGCTGGCTTGGACCCTGGGGCCACCACGGCAGGAGCTCCTTGGGTGGCAGTTCCCTGTGCCCAGCCATGCCGTGCCCCGGAGGCATGAGCCCAGGGGCAAGGTAGATGTTCTGAAGAATCAAAGCCGACTCCCCACCCTCAGGCACCACGGACGCACCACGCTGTCCTGCTCTCCGAGGTCAGCCTGGTGTCCCTGCCTTGCTGAGTCCCTCATGGCTGCCCTGCTTGGGAACCCGAAGGGATGCCAAGAAGGAAGTGGGGCGCGGGGGCGGGAGGGCTCCAGGGTGAGGGCTGGGGCAGGGTCCAGATGGGCGCTCATCCTGCGCCTTTGCAGCCGCTTGGGTTGTGTGCTTCCTTTCCCTTGACCTGGGGTCACCCTCTGGCCCTGCTGCGCCCCTTCTTCCCCACCCCCTGCACTGGGAGTAGCCGCATGGGCGGGACTTTGACTCTGGAACACACTTCCTCCCCGCCTGGAGCCCTGGACAGAGCTCACAGCGAGGCCTGCGCACTGGAGCTTCCTCCAGACCAAGCCGCAACCCGGGGTGGGGGTGGGTTTTGTTTTGTTTTGCTTGACATTTTAACCACCTGTTATTGGGGTACAGTAACAGAAAATGTCACCATTACCACCCAGGGTACGGTAGTTAAAGCAAAATTTACCATGTTATGTAAACATCACCACTATTTAATTCCAGAATACTTTCAACAACCCCCCAAATAAATCCCCAAGTCCATCAGCAGCTCCTTGCCCTCTCCCTTCCCCCCAGAATGGGCTTTCTGCCCTTGGCCGGCAAGCTAGTGAATGGAAGGGGGGGCAGTGTTGACCCCCAACCAGGGCCAGTGCCCTTTGTTCCTCCAGCTTGAGTCACTCAAGTGTTGCATTGTTGGGATGTTGTGAACCACCACGTGCAAGTTTCTTCAAGGCCATTTTCCGCTCTCTTGGGGTGTACCTGGCGAATGCAAGGGGAGAGAGGAGGCAGTGAGGGGCGGGGGTGGGGGGGGGGAGTGGAGAAGACAGAAGGAGGAAGGAGTAGGGGAGAGGAAGAGAGGGAGAGGAAAAGTCTTGGGCCAGGAACAGTGCTGTGGAGCCCGGAGCTTTGCAAAGGCATCTGGGCTTGGTCTGTATGTGTTGGGGGCCGCTGGGGGCCTGCTGAGCCGAGGAGCGGAGGGCCACACCCAGCGTGGGTCCCCGAAAGGACTGGCTGCAGAAGAGGAGGCCGAGCTGGAGAGGCCTGGAGAGGCCGCAGCGGGCACAGGGAGCTAGCAGAGGACAGCCGCAAGCGCTCTCCCACTTTCCCTGGGGGAGAGGGACCCTCTCACCCTCCCCATACCTAAGCCTGCACCTCAGTGTGAGCCCCAAGATAATCCAAACACCACGACTCCGAGGCACCCGCTGGATCTGGGGGCACAGTCGGCCTCGAGGCTGGAGCCGCTGCAGCCTCCTTAGCGCCGCGAGGAGACACCGTCCTCAGCAGACCTAGCCAGACACACTGCACTCCGGTGTCGCCGGCCCCGGCCCCCAAACTGAAACCACAGAGATGCCCCCCTCTGTTTTTACTCAATCTAGTTTGAGTTCAGTTTCTCTCCGAACCAAACAATGAAGTCCTGAGCCAGGACTGCAGCGTTGGGGTGGGCGCTAGGTGCCAGACAAAGGGAAGAACGCTCAGAGTGGAGGAGAGGGAATTGGCACGCCTGAGGGCCTACTGTGTGCACTTTGACTAGCAGCGCATCTAACCCTCCCTACTAGCCCTGCCGAGAGCTTCCAGGAGGTTCACGGTCCCCGCCTGAGGTAGTTACGGGGCTGGGACTCACCTCCTTGCCACACTGACCAATCAGGCCACCGAGGACAGACTGAGGGCTTCCTGGGAGCAGCCAGGCGCCTGGCAACCTTGGGAGGAGGGTCCCTTTGCAGGGAGATGTTCTGGGGGGAGCAGAGGACCTCTGGGAGTCACTGAGTGGAACCCATTAAGCTCACAAGTCACAGAGGGGGGCCTGGGAGGCTGCTGTTGGCTGCGGCGAGACCAGCCAGAGCCGCCCCGTGGGCCCTTGCTGGGCCTCGTTGCGCTGGGTCTCCTGGCCCCGAGCCGAGCCGCAGGACTGCCTCTGCTCACCGAGTAGGCCCTGACCCTCAGGCGCCGGCCAGGTTCTGGGCCCCACCTCAGGCTCCAGGCTCCTCCCTGCCAGAACAGCCTGACAGCTGAGAGGGGAGCAGCTGCTGCCCGTGACCCACTAACCCCAGCGGCCTGCGGGCGCCGCACCCACCCAGCTGGCCTGGGTTCTCTGCCCAGAAAGCCGGAGGCCTCCAGGGCCGGCAGCCGCCACCGGGGAGTGGGAAGGGGAGAAACAGGGCAGGCCTGCCCCACCCCTCCCCTCCCAGACAGAGGCTCCCCCAGAAGGCTGACTTCTGCACCTCCATTATGGAGGTCTTGGGGGCTGGAAGGCCTAGTCACGTCTGACGGAGGCCCCAGTCCCCTTCACGGGCCCTGCCCTACGTGTTCTCTCACAGTGGCTTCCCTCTGGGGTGAGGCGTGAAGGTGGTGGGCAGGAGCTACTAGAACATCCCCTCTCATCCTGCTCCATCCTCCCTCTCATCCTGCTCCATTCTCCATCTCATCCTAGTCCTGGTTCCAGGCCACTTTTAAAGATCTCTGTCACACACCATCGTGCATGAAGATGCTCCCTGAGGTCAGCCTGAGAGTGTCCTCTCCCGACACCAGGACCTGCCCCCATGGGTCTGGGCGCAGGGTGCCGGGGGTCCCCAGAGGGAATGCCTGGCCTCAGCGCCTCTGCTCACCTTCCAAAAGCCAGCATTTGGAGAAGACAAGGCAGGAGGCCCTGAGGGGCCGTGGGGCCACTCCATGCCTGCCTGCTCTTGGGGCCGCATCCCCACCTCATGTTAGAGTCTGGTGCAGAGCTGAGCGCTGCCAGACCCCTGCTCTGCTGAGTGCAGAAACCTGAGCAGCGGAGGACACAGGGGGAGGCAGGGTGCTGCTATGGGGAGGAGCGTTGGCTGTGGGGGCCGGGCGGGAGTGCAGGGCCTCAGGCTGTCACCTCAGGCTCTCTGACTCCCCACACGCCACCTCCCACAGGACCCTGCGCCAGTCCTGCGTGCACTCGTTTGTTCATTCGCTCATTTGCTCTTCCCTTCTGCATTCACAGGAACCCATAAGCACTCTGGGAGGACGACAGCAGCCACCGCCCGTGGGGGCCAGTCAGGAATCCATGGTGACAGTGCAGAAGGGACAGTGTTCATCCGAGTTCCTCCGAGGGAGCTTGAGCTGACTGGGGGTCCAGAAGCCTTCCCCAAGGGGACACCACGACCACAACCGAGGGCAGCCAGCTGGGGTGCAGGGAGGGGCTGTCCGGGCCCAGGGACAGTCCCTGGGGCCTGGCTCCAGTGGCTGAGGGGCTGAGGTGTCCAGAGCAGCGAGGGGGGGCGAGGCAGGAGAGGCCCCGGGACGAGGCTCTGCCGCTGTGCGGGCGCGTAGGGCAATATGGGCACAGGCACTCGGGCAGCGTCTGCCAGAGCACAGGGCTGGGAACAGCCTGGCGTCAGCTGCGACAAGGACGTGGGGACGTGCTGCGCCTCCGGCTGAGCACCGCGTGGCTGTGGGCTCTCCTGCGCAATGCGGCGGCCGAAAGCTGTGAGCTGGGGCAAGGTGGGGGCCAGTGTGGAGCTCAGAGGTTCCGCACTGTGGTTTCCCGTGATCCTGCGAGTCACTTCCCACCCGTCTCAGCAGCGGTCACTTCCCCTGCCTGGACGGAGGGCTGTTCCCGGCCCCGCCCCACCCCCACCAGGCTGGCCGCACTTTGAGGTTCTTCTTGACTAAATATTGACCTTCGTGTAAAGAAAGATGGGAAAGGCTGGCAGCGCCAGGGTGGTCTCTAGGCCTATTTGCAAGGTGCCGATAGCACTGGTTGTCCAGGAGAGAAGAAGGGGTGCCCAGGCCAGGCAAGACGGAAACTTCTTTTGTCTCTCTCGTGACATCTGGATTGTGAACCCCATGGAAGAATTGATGCCATGCAAAGTCATGTTTTGTTTTTACATTTTAACAGAATAGGTTTCTAAGAAAAGGAGCACGAGGAAAGAGACACCTGCGTGGAGAGAGGGAGGCTTGCTTGGCTTGAGAGCTGCTTCCTAGGGATTCAAGTGAAAAACAAAGTAACTGCGATCACCCCACGCTGGATTCTCTTCCCGGCACTCAGCAGCCATGGCGAGTTGTTGCCTGCCTTGACTTACTCCTCAGCAGACAGGTTTCAGTGGCAAGTGACAAAGCCCAAGTCCGGCCAGATTAAACAACGTCGCGATTTCGGGTTCATAAAATCTGCTTCAGGCATGGCTGCCGCCAGGGACGTGAGCAGTCACCGGGATTTGTGCCTTGGCTAAGATTTTCTCTGTGCTGGGTTTATTCTCAGGCTGGCTCTTCCACCGGGTGACAGAGCTCCGGGCTGGCATCTTGACCTTTCTAACTCAACAGGTCCCCAAGCTGAAGCTCAGTGATGTCACATGTCCATTCCTGAACCATCCTTATGACTCAGATTGGCTAGCCCAGGGTCTCCGACCTAGCTCTTGAATGGGGGAGCAGGGATCAGTCACCCTAGAGGCCCTGGAGAATTGAGGGGGAGTCACTCAAATGCGAGGGATGGATGACGGGCAGGAAAAACAGTGCCTGCCACCACTTTCCCCTCTCCTGACACGCGCTCCACTGCATGGTCAATTCCTGACCACAGCAGCTACTCATGCTCCTCTGGGCTCTGCTTTGCCATAGATGTTCTCTTCTTCTGCCTGGCACACCCCTATTTATCTGCTGGTAACCTACTCAGATATTGGCAGCAGTCTTTTGCCCACCTGTGCCCAGCAGGGGCTTCTTCCCACCCACACTGCCCCTCTCCAGGGCAGCAGCCTCCTGCCCGCCCATAACCTGCACCTGCTGGGGCTTCTGTGCGCTGACCCCTAGGAAGGCTGCCCGCCTGGGACCACGCAGGATCTCTCAGCAAGCCTGTCCCTTTTGGGGCCGCTCTTCCTGCCCGCTTGTGTCTGCAAGTGTTCTTTACTCTTCTGTCGACCTTTTGCTAATAAACCTGCTCTTTTAAAATATTTGTTAAAAATCACTACTCACCTATCACCTCCTACTTGAAGCCCTCCTAATTGTCCCACTTATTTCTGCACCTCCCTTCTGTCCTTTGCAGGTCCTCTCTCACCCAGCACTGACCACACCTCACCATGTTCCCCGGGCAGAACAGAGGTGAGTCAGCTGACCTCTGCCCTCACGGACTTCTGTCATGGGAAGGGTTGTGCCGTTGTAGGATGTTTCACTCAGGGCTGTCTCGTCCCAGGGGGCTGGGCCCAGCCTTGGCCAAATATGTCCTCCCCAGCACAGTCCTAGGCACAAGGTAGTTGCTAACAGGAGTTTTCAAAATGAATAGTGGCAAGTTGCTTTGAAAGGGTGGGAGCAATCCAAGCGGCCCCGCTGACAGTGTTCACAGGCCAAAGGACACCCAGCGGCTGGGACACTCCCAGAGACCTCTGGGAGGAAGTGCCTGGACCAGGCTGGCACTGCTAGGACAGGGCTGTCCCCAATCTGGTAATCCCCAGACTGACCTTGGGCCTGTGGCCACAATCCAAAAGTCCCCCCCATCTCCTAAGACGGGGCCCAAGGCAGAAGCTGGGGTACCTCCAGTGAAACTCCTCTTGATACCAGCCACTGAAGGGGGTTGAAGTAGGACAGGGCTGGAGTTGGCAGGAGCCCAAGGCAGGAAGGAAACAAGACACAAGCAAGGAAAAACCCCAGGTCTGGGGTTGGCTCGGGCCACCGGCCCCGCGGCTGAGCGAAGCTGGGCTGGGGAAGGCTTTCCACCCCGCGCGGTTCCTGCCCGCTCTGCTGCCTGCTGCCGAGTGGGGCCCTTCAGAGGACTGGCCGCTCACGTCCCCCAGAACATCACTTTCCTTTCCCATCAGTCACCCTGTTTCCAGAACTGCCCTCAGATTCCTGATCCCCACCGCCCCCCATTGTCCAGGGCCCTGGCTCCAGGGGAGCCCCTCCCAACCTCCCCAGCTAACCTTGCAGGAGGGGGCTTCGGCCTCTATCTGTCCCTGGTCCCCTGGGGGCTGGGGCTGTAACGTGGCAATTTCCAGGAAGAAGAGGCTGGGAGGGGCCGGAAGGCTGAGTCAGTCCCTGTGCCGTGAGTACAGATCCCTGTGGGGGGCTGATGGGGCCACCTCAGGGTTGAGGACACGCTCCAGGCTGAGGAGGAAGAAGCTGAAGACCCCATTCCGGGCATTTCTCTAACCATCTCCTCAGTCCTGCCGGGATGCCCAAGACCTCTGCCAGTGCAAAGGACCCAGACCCTGGCGAGGCATCAGGCCTTGGACATGGTGTGCAGGCTGGGGCAGGGGGTCTCCTCTGTCCATCGGGTCAAACATGCAGGACAGCGCAGCTGTCCAGTGGCTCGAGATTCCAAGCCTCCCCACCCACAGCCCAGCCCTTACACACAGCCAGAGAAGTTTCTTCAAAGAGGCCAATTTTAGTAAATGAGACCCTGTTTTCTAAGTGCTGGGTAATTGCAGGGCGCCCCCAGTGACGCAGCTCGCCTGCACAAAGTCCCATCCGTTCGGCATAACCTGGCGGAGCCGGAGCCACAGCAGGCTCCCCAGGGATCCCTGGCCAAGTGACATCCTCTCTGTGAGGGGATGAACTGCCCACCCAGGTGCTTGCTTTCAGGCGCGGGACCCAGTGCAGGCACAAACCAGGCCTGCGGCGTGGGCTTTGCAGGCCTCATGGCTGACGTCAAGTGGGTGCCGAGCTGGGCGGCCAGCCTGCGCAGACCACGAGGTGCACCCTACCCACCCCTCAGGCTCCCCAGTTTGCCTGTCTTCATCTCTCCACGCCGTGGTGGGGCGGGGTCTGCCTCTGTGGGGCCTTGGTGAGCACCCTCCTCTGCCAGCTCCCAGCCCTGTAATTTTCTGTGTTGCCACTGGCTCTAGTCCTCAGGCTCGGGGGCAAGGTCAGCACAGCCCTTCCAGGTGCCCGGGGCTGTTACAGTAAGTCCAAAAGCTGCCACCTGGCCTGCCAGCCAGCGTGGCCAGCGTGGTCCCTTCAAGAGCAGAGCAGCAGGGGCCTCCCTGGCGGTGCAGGGGTTAAAGCACAGCATTGTGAAGCTGCTGCAGCACAGACCTAGGATGAAGGCTCAGACCAGGGAGGGAGCCCAGGGAGGGGCCCACAGGGCAGCCACCCCAGACCTCTCCTGTCTGCCGCCGCCGCTCCCCTCAGCAGTGCATTTCAGTACATCTGCCTGTTCTGCTCCCCGCGCTGTCGCTGGTGAATTCTCCCACCGCCTGAACTCCAGTTCCTCTGGGTAAAAAGGAATAAAGTCTTAAAAAAAGAAACAGCAGAGGAGCAGGGCACGCAAGTCCCTGGGGGGCCCGAGAGTCACACAGCGGTGTCCCAGCTCAGCTCACCCAGTGGAAGAGGCGCACATTCTCCTGCTGTCTCTCCAGCCCTGCAGGGGTTTCTCGTTTTGTGTGGATGAGTGAATAAGTGAGCGCGAGAGCGAACGAATGAACCAGCAAGCAAAGCAGAACAAGTGTTACAGAACAAGGAATCCCACCGCCTGGAAGCTACCTGGCCTGGCGCCGGCGCCCGCACACCTGCAATGCCCTGTTTGCTAGAGGGGCGTAAACTCGACAGCTCCTGCGCGTGTGTGACCTTGTAAGGTGGGTGCCTCCACGGCTTCATTCACCTCCTCAGAAGTCCCCCCAGGACCCCTGTGCGGACACCCTGGTGTCCAAGGACAGTCCCATGAATTCTCCGGCTGCACGCCCCTCGGCCCTCCAGCCCCGAGGGTTCTGGCTCTGGCCGGTGCGGCTGGCGTCCGCGGAATCCAGCCCCGGCTCCCGACGCGGCCGGGCTGCGCCCGCGGGAACGTGGACGCGGAG